GGGGGGATTGTCTGATAAAGCGAACAGCTTCTCTAACTTTTTTCACAGAACTCCCTATTTCTTTCAACCCATCAGTAACAATCAAGTTAATTATGTGTGCAACACATCTCATATGCAAGAATTGACATTTCATAATTGAGTGACCCCAATTCACAATTTTTTGTTCTAAATATTGAACCATGACATCATTAGAACTAGCATTATCCACGGTAATTGTGAGCACCCTTTCAATTCCCCATTCAAGTAGACATTTTTCCATTTCCATTCCAATATCTTTCCCCTTATGACTAGAAATAGGAATGAAATTTAAAATCCTCTTTCTCAATGTCCATGCATCATCTATAAAATGAGCAGTAACACACATATAATTGATTCTTTGAATGGAAGTCCAAGTGTCGGTGGTGAGGCAAACCCTTTGCCTCTTATGCAGTAAATAGTCTTTAAATTTAACTTTCTCATCAATGTAAATCCCAAAACAATCACGAGCAACAGTCCATCTTGATGGAATTTTAAACCTAGGTTGAGCAATTGACATAAATTGCCTAAACCCATCCCCATCAACAAACTTGAAAGGTAATTCATCAGTAATTATCATGCATGATAACGCTTTCCTAATAGCATCTTGATCAAATTTCCAATTAGTAAGACCCACTTTGTCATCTACATTAAAGTTCAAGTGAGATTGTGCAAGTTCTTCAGGAGGGGGCTTCAATTTACAAGTAGTCAAATGGTTGTTAAGTGCAGTGGTTCCATTAGCTTTTGAATCACATGCAAGATCTTTTTCACAATAGTTGCACTTACCTCTAGTTTCACCTCTTTCATTCACAAATTTGGTGAAATGCTCCCAAACCTTTGATCTTGGTTTCATGCTTTTCCTTTTTGTAGTCCCACTTGCTACTGGCATTGAAGGCTTTGTTGTTTGAGTAGTAGCATCATCCCCAGCTTGAGCATCACCCATAGTTTCACCATGAGAAGACATCTAATTTAAATATATATATATATTAGTTACACCATCATCAAAGTGAAACATGTTAAAGAATTTTCTCCACTACATCAAACTGTTATGAAATAATAAATTGAAGGCTTGAAGAAGGCGTGCTTAATTTTCTCCACTACTTGAAATAATAAACCCTTTGCAGTTGTATATAAGAAAACAAATGAGGACAATTTATAATGAATAGATAACTCCTATCTATAATCAATATCTCTTCTTTTTAATTTACAACAGATTATATAATCAAACATCACCCACGGTTTCAACTTTCAATCAATATATATATACCGCAGAAGAAAAGAAAGGGACAGGGGATCATGACATCAAAAAACATTAAACATAAGCAGACCACCCAACTACAAAGCAATGTCGCCGATTGCCGATTGCCGAGTATATATATACTCCTTGACATCACAACTACAAAGAAAGGGACAGGGGATCATTGACATCACGCATCACCCATGGTTTCAATCAATATATAATTGACGCCGATTGCCGAATGCAGAGTATTAATTTCAAATACAAATAAACCACCCAAATGAAGTAAAATTATTTTACAATCGTATTATGTTCTGTGACTTCTATCTATGCAATATACCCATATCAGTTATCAAAGAACAACACTAGAAGAGTAGCTGAATCAAAAAATACGGCTGAAAAAAATTTTGAGAACTTGAATACCATATTTTACTTGGCTGAACGTGGAGAAGGCCGAAGGGAGACGGATCCTACTATATGAAGACCGGTGGCGAGTGGTGAGTTGAGTGGCGACTGGATGACTGCGATGTGATGCTCCTATATGGAGTGGAGATTGTGGCTATCTGCGATGACTAATCGATGAAGGGAGTTTGAAGTCTAAAGTTCAGACTCTGAACCTTGCAACGGCGACGGCAACGGCTAAGGAGGGTAGATCAGAACTTCCGAGGGACCAAGGATAAAGGGACTCGTTGAGAACTTCGAATTTACGCTGCGCAAGTGCGTAATCTGCCGACAGACTTACTGACTTAGGTTAGGGCTTGGAGAGGGGACGGGAGTCTTTGAGAGTCTGGGACAGCGAAGGAGTGTGCGGCCGTGAAGGACTGAAGTCTGAAGGCGTGAAGGCGAGAAGGGCTGGGTCACGGGAGTGGTGGACTGGATCACTGGAATGATAGATGGAGTCAAAGAAAATAGAAGGAGTAGTTGGGCCGTGAGAATTGGGGAGACTGGGAGACCGCGACCGGGAGGGAAATATTAAAAAAAAAAATGTTCAAATTCGGTTATTTCGGTACTAACCGAATTATTTTGCAAGACACCGAACCGAACACCGATAACCGAAGTAACCGAATAAAAACCGAAAAAAAAATAATAACCGAAATAACCGAACCGAAATAACCGAATTGAGTTCGGTTCGGTTCGGTTTTCGGTTCCGGTTCGGTTTTGCTCACCCCTAGAAACGTGTTTAAGATCCGTGGGAAATTTTACAACTCCAGTATATGGATTAACAACATTATTATACGTGTTTACAACTTCAGTATAAGTATTCCCAACAGCTTTCTGAAGATGAAAACATGTTGCCCCTTTTACAACTTCGGTGAAGCTTTTAACAACTGAAGTATAGGTTTTTCACAACTCATGTATACCCGTTAGCTAATGGGTCCCTTGCACGCCCACACCCAAGTGGAAACGTGTTTAAGATCCGTGGGAAATTTTACAACTCCAGTATATGGATTAACAACATTATTATACGTGTTTACAACTTCAGTATAGGTATTCGCAACAGCGTTCTGAAGATGAAAACATGTTGCCCCTTTTACAACTTCGGTGAAGCTTTTAACAACTGAAGTATGGTTTTTCACAACTCATGTATACCCGTTAGCTAATGGGTCCCTTGCACGCCCACACCCAAGTGGGAAACGTGTTTAAGATCCGTGGGAAATTTTACAACTCCAGTATATGGATTAACAACATTATTATACGTGTTTACAACTTCAGTATATGTATTCACAACAGCTTTCTGAAGATGAAAACAAGTACCCCCTTTACAACTTCGGTGAAGCTTTTAACAACTGAAGTATAGGTTTTTCACAACTCATGTATACCCGTTAGCTAATGGGTCCCTTGCATGGCCACACCCAAGTGGGAAACGTGTTTAAGATTCGTAGTAAATTTTATAACTCCAGTATATGGATTAACAACATTATTATACGTGTTTACAACTTCAGTATAGGTATTCACAACAGCTTTTTGAAGATGAAAGCATGTTGCCCCTTTTACAACTTTGGTGAAGCTTTTAACAACTAAAGTATAGGTTTTTCACAACTCATGTGTAACTGTTAGCTAATGGGTCCCTTGCATGGTTGTACCCTCATGGGAAACGTGTTTAAGATCGGGGAGAAATTTTACAACTCCAGTGTATGGCTTAACAACATTATTTAAAACTTTTACAACTTTAGTATCGGTATTCACAACACTTTCCTAAAGATGGGGGAAAAAACCCCTTTCACAACTTCAATTAACCTTTTAACAACGTCAGTATATGGTTATCACAACACAGGTATACCTGTTAACCACCTGGTTTACAGGCGTGCTTACACCCTCTTTAGAAACGTGTTTACGGACTAAACCCACTTCAATATGCGTTCCCAACAGCATTTCCAAGAATGACTAAACCCACCATATTACAACTTCAGTAAACCATATAACAACCCCTAAATAACGTTTCAACAACTCGAGTAAAAGTTGAACAATTGTCATAAAGAAAATGATCAGTAATACCCATATTCTTAACTCAGTTCAAACGAAGTTCATATACGAAGATCATACTTAAAAACATAAAACATAAGGCAACAATATCAAACATGAATAATAAGGGGACTCGTCTTACAACTTCTGTCATTGTTAACAACACAGTTAAAGGAAATAACAACTTCATATAGGTATTTTCCTAAAACCAGATCCTTCCTGACAGTACTTACAATCAGCGACAAGCTAACATTAATATTTCATCCCCACTTAATGTTTTCTTGTCACTGACATCAAAATACACATTTCACTGACTATGTGTGGCTTACGATGTCGACTTACCACATGGCACAACCCTTCATCCAAAAAAATACGAAGAGTTGCAAAATATTTACAAGCCACAATAAAAATAACCTTTACAAAATAAACGCACACGTGGACCACCAATTTTAACTTGGGTTTGGATTTCTGCATGTTCTTTTACTGTGCCCAACTTCATGACACTGTCCACAGTGGTAAATCTTCCTGTTTTGGAATTGGGATTCCCGCCTCCTAATTCTTGGCCTTCCCGAAGGTCTACTAGTTGTGGGTGGGTATAGCCACACTTGGTTTCCTATATTTTGCAGCATATAATCATCAGGATTAGGCCTGTTAATTGTCACTACTAGAATCATGGTGTTCCCATAAATCTTCTCTTGAGATGTTATTTTATAACAGTCCTCCACAAAATCATACACATTTGCATGAACCACCCTTATTGTAGCACAAACGTGTGGACACGGAATCCCTGTCATTTGCCATGCAGCACAAGTGCATTCATGTGACTGAACATTGACATATAAGGCTCCATGCGAAGTATGTACACAGACCCTGCCACCTCCATAAGGTTCACCATGCATATGAATCGATCTAGCCACATTTTCCATCACTTTTCCATCATGTTTGGACCCACACCATTTCTCCCGTTCCTCATTGCCACACTTGCTGCGAACATCTTCCTTGCAACCTTTCACGATGTTCATGAATAAGTTGGGCAACATTATGCTGCCTTTCCTTTACAATCCAAGCATTGAATGACTCAGCAATGTTCGTTGTTATGTTATCCCACCGTTTATATGCAAATTTGCTCATTGCCCACTTATGAATATCACCATGATTGTTAAGCCACTGAAGTAACTGAGGACTGAAATTTCCCATCCTTGTCATTGCCTTATCAAACTCAATGTTAACCCTTGCATATGCAATGTCATCAAGCAACTTTAATCCAACTTCCTTACTAATACCACTATCTCCTCCTACCTCTGTATAATTTATTCATTTCATAGCTGAAATTTTCCTTCACGTGCCTATAACAGTATGCATGACGGTCACCTCCAAATATTGCTCCAACAGCTCCTATTATTGCATTGTGACGATCTGACACAATAGTTAATTGGATTGCACCAACTATCTGTTTTATCATGTTTAAGAACCATGCCCACTCCTCATAAGTCTCTCCTTTCACAATAGCATACGCGAATGGTAACAATTCATTGTCCACGTCATATGCTGAGGCTGATAGCAACGTTCCCCTATATGGTCCACTCAAATGTGTTCCATCTATGTACAGTATATGTCTTGCTCCAGACAAAAAACCCTCTATGCAACAACCATATGCTATGAAAACACGCTCAAATATATTGTTAACAGTTGCTACCCATTCAGCTACCGTCTTCTCATCGGTTTCCTTTAATCGTTGACATATCCATGGTATCAACATGTATGACTGTTCAGGCCTCCCTTGTATTTCCTCTAATGCTTTTTCCTTAGCCCTATATGCTTGCTTATATATCAACTTCACACCATAATCCCTTGCCAAGGTCCTCCTTATTTCATTTGGATGCTTTTCAGTGTGATCCCTTACCTCCTCAATGATAATTGATGATGTCAAGGCTGCTCTTCCACCATGTGTAACTTGCATCATCTCTTGGACATTATGCACATGTTCATTGCTGAGTCGAGTTACAACGAGGAAAGGACTTCTCTTCGCAGCTACTCTTGCTATTATCCACCAAGGACAACCTTCAACTTTGCATTTCACATGCACACATTCCTCATAATTTTTGATATATTTGTACTCGAAGTTTTCTGCAATACTAAACTTATATACTGCCTTTCTGAATTCTGTGGCATTTGCAAAAGTTTGCTTCTTTCCTAACAACAATTCCTTCCACTTCACAGCATTCATCTCGGGCATTGGTGTTGGTGCAATCTCTACTGTACTTACTAGCCTCACATGACATCCCCCACCGCCTTCTCTTACACAGTCACCCCCATTTTCATCACAAACTGTTCCGTCCATATTATTCTCCCTACTTGACAAAAAACACATTTGTTGTGACAATCCCAAGTAGTTGTCAATGCTGCATGCATAATTACAACTTTTGTTAGGAAATTCACAACAACAATATAACAAATAACAACTAAAATAACCATAAAAAAACAAGTCTCACATTTTTGGATCATCCATTACTTCCGGTGTACTCTCCTTCAATGCTAGATACACATGTGCACTAGTGTCATTATACTGAAAAAGATTATCAACTTCACTATCATCAACCAAATCTACTAATGCCTTATCATCGAGGCTCACTGTATATTTCATGTCACAAATATTAACATCTATATCAAACCATTCCAATATCATTAACCTCAACTCTTCATATCTTATCCCCTGTTTTATCGTTTTAACTCTTACACTCCCACCATTGTATCTCATTTCACCTTCAACATTATTAACAAAGTTTCCACCAAGATGAAAAATCAACGCAAGTGTCTTTGAATATGTTGACCCAATATTGCAACTCATTCTGCATTATACCCTACAACAAACAAGGAAAATATTTCATCACAATGTCATCTCTGTAAAAAGGATATTTCATAAACCCAACACAGCTACTTTCAAAGTTAACAACTTCAATATATCGTTTCACAACTCCACTTTAACTATTAACAACACCCTTCACAACCTCATTACTATGGATATTCAACCCACTTATATACGTGATCATTGCAACGCTTCTTCCAATTTCCCTCAGCTACCATCTGCTATCCCCAAAAACAGATCATTATAAACACCGTCCCAGACTAAGCTAACTCTCACTCACTACCCGACTCATACGTTCCATTCCCACAAGTTAAAAACAACAACCAATAGCCCAAGATGAATCAACTTACGATTGTTGGAGCATCGTCTCCCTCTTAAGCTGACAAAACTAACTTGCCCACAACCCTAACCTTATCTAACACTAATCAACTCATTTGTTCATATTGATGACATTCTCACACCTAAAAAAGGAAAAACCAACACCCCAATATGAAGAACGTATGCCTTACGTAATGCCGCCCCTTACCTACTCTGAACCCTCAACGCCACATACAGAACGCAGGACCACCAAAATGAAGAAAACAGACCGCAACAGTCATGCATGGAGGATGAAACAGTCATATGATTTCAGAAAAACACTTACCCTTTCGAACCACCACCTTCTCGTCACCTTCGAGCTGCTGGAACGCACGTGTTTCTCTCCTTTCCTTCCCGCCTATCTTCCTTCGGTGTGCGGCTTATTGTGGTGCCTATGTGGTGCCCACGTTTTGTAATGGGTGAGGGCGGTTTGGTCTTTTCGTCTAAGAAAATAATCCCAATTTGGTCTGATGGTACCAAAATGGGATTTGTGAAATTCGGCAGACGTTTTTGGGCTTCTAGAGTTAGAGGTGCATTTTTCTGTCTTTTTCCCTTCAATTTAGCTTCTGAAAAAGTTAAATTAGATAAAAGTTAGATTGGATAATATGATTTATATTGAGATTGACTTTTGAAAAAGTTAGATTGGGTAAAAATAAAAGTTGTTTGGATTATGATTGAATAAGTAAATCTAATTTGTAAAATTACTAAAATGAGTATGACATTTATTAGATACTGTGAAATGAAAAAATAATACCAATTTATGTAATACAATAATTTTAAATTATTTTAATTGGAAAATTTTAAATTTAATTAAATAAATGTATTTAGATTAAACAATTACAGAACATGTTTTTTTAATATGAAAATAATTTCCAAATTTAGATTTAATTCAAATAAAAATTTCCTAATATATCAGAGAAGTAAAATGCCAAAAGAAGAAAAAAAAAAATCTCCACACAACTCTAAGTAAAGAGCTACTGAAACACATCAATATATATTCACTACCTCTTTTATTTAAAAGATTTGGATTCTCTCCACTACCCTTTCCATCCTCTACCCCTTCACTATGCTCCTTTTCTCTTCACAATCATTGGATCGAAATTCCAATAGTCCAGATTTAATATCTTATAAAAATAATGTTATTAAAAAAAGAAAAATTTAAACTGTTAAAATTTGGTCTAAATGGTTCACAACTGTAATAAAAAGAAATTGAAAAAAAATTTGTTCTATAATAACAGTCTATAATTATGAACTTTTCAGATTAGATTTTAACAATTTAAATTGATTTATCTGTTTTTTATAATAATATTTATTTTTATAAAATGTTATAAAATATTAAATCTAAACCGTTGGAGCTTTGATCCAATGGTTGTGAAGGGGAAAAAAAAAGGTAGTGGAGGGGAAGAGGATGGAAAGGGTTGTAGAGAGAATCCAAGTCCAAATCTTTTTGCCTTTTCATCTCATTCCACGCTACCCGACCTGTAACAGTGCCTTTGCTCTTGATGGGAGTAGTAGGGAGTTGGAGATTGCGAGCACGACTTAGCGATGACAAGGACAGATTGGACGAGAAGAGGAAAGGAGTAGATGAAGGAGCAAGGAGATGGAGCCAAGAAGAGAGAACGGAGAATCATTACAAAAAAGAACATACTTTGTAGTGGTAGCCGCTACAAGTGACAATTATAGCGGTTCTGACAACTGCTATAAAAACCATCGAAGTAAATGGATTTGTAGCAATTAATGGGAACTGTGGCACACGATAAACAACCACAACATTATTTTGTAACAGTTATAAAACTGCTACTAATAACGTGATCAATGAGATCACTTCCAGACATTTTGTAGTGGTCATATAATTGCTACAACTTTCAAATTTGTAGCGGTTAATAAAACTACTACTAAGTGTCGGCAGCAAAAAATTGGTATGGTAGGAACTGAGAATTGAATTTGTCGGTAAAATTTGTAATGGTTATATAACCACTGCAAATGGTAAAATTTTCAACAAAAAAAATAATGCCATCGGGAAGATTTTGTGGCGGTTAAAAACCGCAACAAATGTGAAAATATTATTTAATTTTATTTTTTGTAGCAGTTTTTATAATAGCTACAAAATATTACGTTGAATTTAAAAAAATCAAATTTTGAAGATAAAATATAATAAATTAAATATCATTTGCAAATATAATTTTGAAATGAAATGTGTTATCAAATTTGTAATCAAGTTTTATTTAAAGTTTTGTTAAATAAGAAAATTTTAGTAATATTTTAAGTATTAAATAAATATTATTAGAAGATTTATAATTTTATAATTGCAAAAATTTTAAAAAAAATTGAAATGTTATTTACAAATATAAGAAATAAATTCGAAAGAGTAGAAAATAAAAATAAATAATTCTTGCATGAAAAAAATTATTAGTAAATTAAAATTAAATAATATGAGAAAATAAAATTAAATAAACAATAATAAAAACTTACAATTTGAAAATAGGAGGAGGGATATCAAAGGAGAGAAATGGAGGTTTTCTGGTAAAAGAAAGGAGAGGAGAGGTTGAGGAGGTGTGAAAAATAACAGGAAGAGTAGGGGTATTTATAGATGGCCGATGACATTTGTAGCGGTTTAGTTCATTTTGTAGCAGTTTAGTTCTTGTTGTATCGTTTAGATTTTGTAGCACTTTTTTGTTTGTAAAAAAAAATACTGATTTTGAAAAAATGGCTTAGAATCAATTGTTGAAAATTTAGTCTTCATCACCTTGCCTGAAATGAGATATATAAAGTCAAATAATGAGAAATAATTATAACACACACAAATTTAAGTAAGAACAAAATGTTAATTAATGTAACAAAAATGAATCAAAATTATATGTAAAAAAGAAATACTTAACAATTAGTAAATTATCATCTCCTTTGGAGAAGAAATTTGCAAAATTCGTTGGTTGGAAGGGTTTACTGTCGTAAATTATGTCATCACCAAGGAACAAAAAACTGGACCGGGAACTCAACCAGTCCAGGAAGTGGGTCAAGGGTTACTAGTCGGACCGTGGTCGAACCGGGGTCGGACCGGTCATAATAAAATAATAAAATTTAATTCATAACATTAAAGTGGAACAAAATTCATAAGTAATAAACTAATAATCACTAAAGGGAATATAAGAAAAAGTAGTTTAAATGTTGAATTGCACAAAATGAATATTACCAAAATACATATCTTCATCAATACACTAATAAGTCAAACAACACTCCCCTCCCTTCTCAAATCTCACGGCGATGGATCAAGTCAAAACTCAAAAGTAGTTTAAATGTTTATACTCTCCTTCCTTCTCAAATCTCACGGCTATAGATCAAGACACCCCCCCTCCCTTCTCATATCTCACGACAGCAGTCACAACACAGAGAGAAGCAGCTAAAACAACTCAATGCCTGAACTGAAGGTGAAAAGGAAAGGTTTTGAGCTTACCCACAAGGCTACAACTCAATGTTTGCACTGAAGGTGAAGTAGGACATCCGTGAACAGCTAAGGTGAAGCAGGACAATAGTGAGGAGAGGATGGACTATGGAGACTTGTGACTTGCTATGTGAGCTACGAAGGTGAACGGTGAAGTCGAAGCAGAGCTGTGAAGGCGAAGGTGAAGTAGAGCTGCGAATGGAGCCATGGAGGAGGGAGTGCCAATGTCAGTGATGAGGCGACGTTATGGATCTGATTTTGCTGGGTTCATGGCAAGAATCTAGGACTTGGAGTAGGTGGAAGAGATCTCGACGATTTGGTCACAGATAGGGGAGGGCTGGAGGAGGGCCGCTCGACTGAGGGCTTGAGGTGAGACTGGCAAGTTAGGGAGGGAGGAAGAGCATTTTTTTAAGGCAAACAACGTCGTTTTTGTGGCTCGGCTACCAAAAAAAATAAATCGTGTGAACCGCCCAACTGGTTTTTTCCCAGTTTAACATCGGTTTTCACCAGTTGGACTGGTTCACCACCGGTTCAAACCACCTTCGGTTTTTTCTGCAAACCAGACCGGATTGGTGATCGGTTCACTGGTTTTCCAGTTGAACTGGCCAGTCCGGTCCGGTTTTTTTTTCATTGGTCATCACCACTATCACCCACGTCATAAAGATCTCACGACTTGAGG